GCAAGTATTATGTCATTTTTATATAAAGAACTCGAGCACCCTTGGATTTTGGTTATGGGGGAGGATTCCTAGAATCAGTCCCCAGTGAATACTGAAGGCCAACTGTACTTATAGAATAAGAAATTAAACAGAATTTCTTTTTCTGTTTCATTTTGAGAAAAAATTCACAAATAGCAATAAAACAACTTTTCCTGAATAGGATGAAAAACAAAACGTTCAAAAATTGTAGCTTCTTGAATATGTCTTAGCATCAATGTAACTTTAGTCTACATTACTCATCTTAATATATTACTGACAAAAAAATGATATCCTGAGGCATAAAATCCTTAATGAAAGATTCAGTCTGATTTACTATGTTAAATTTAAGTTATTTACAAAATTTCAAATATATTTTGAATGGATTTTTATAAAAATATCAAAAATAGAACATAATTAATCAAATTATATCTAAATGAAGTTTCCTAATATAATAAGTATAAGCACACTTAATAATAAGTATGCTTATACTTATTAATATAATCAATTAGACAACTAAGTTTTTTTTCCGGAAAATAATATCTTACAATTAAAAAGGTACAGGCATACCACTTTTTATTGCACTTTGCTTTTTTGTGCTTCTCACAAATTGAAGGTTTGTGGCAATCCTGCATGAAGCAATTCTACTGGTACAATTTTTCAACAGTATGTGCTCACTTTGTGTCTCTGTGTTACATTTTCATACTTTTCATATTTCAAACTTTTTTTCATCATTTTTTTGCTTTGTTTTGTTTTTCTGAGTTGAGGTCTCACTCTGTCACCCAAACAGGAGTGCAGTGGCAAGATCACAGCTCACTGCAGCTTGACTTCCTGGGCTACAGGGATCCTCCTTTCTCAGCTTCCTAAGAAGCTGGGAATATAGGCATGAATCACCATACCCAGCTAAGTTTTTGATTTTTTGTAGAGACAAGTACTTGAACTCCCGGGCCCAAGTTATACTTCTACCTCAGACTCTCAATGTGACAAGATTACAGGAGTGTGCCACCACGCCCAGTCTGTTTTCATTACTATATTGATCTGTGACCAGTGATTTTTGATTATACAACTGTTATCTGTTTTGGGGATCTTCAACAGTACCCAAATAAGATGGTGAACTTAATTGATAAATGTTGTGTGTATTCTTTTTTTTTTTTTTGAGTTGTAGTCTCACTCTGTCGCCCAGACTGGAGTGCAGTGGCTGCTCCTGGCCACCGCAGCCTCGACCTGCTGGGCTCCGGCGATCCTTCCGCCTCAGCCTTCCAAGTAGCTGGAACTACAGGCGTGTGCTACCACGCCTGGCTGACTTTTTTATTTATTGTAGAGATGAGGTCTCGCTGCCCAGGCGGGTCTTGAACCCGCGGGCTCAGGCAATCCACTCACCTCAGCCTCCCAAAGGCACGGGATTACAGGCTGAGCCACCGAGCCCGGCTGTTGTATATTCTGACTGCTCCACCATGTTTCCCCTTCTCTTTCCCCCTCCTTGGGCTCCCTATTCCCAGAGACAAAAATATTGAAATTAGGTTAATTAATAACTCTACAATGGTCTCCAAGTGTTCAAGTGAAAGGAAGAGTTACATATCTCTCACTTGAAATCAAAAGCTAAAAATGATTAAGCTTAGTGAGGAAGGCATGTTGAAAGTTGTGACAAGCAGAAACCTAGGCCTCCTGCACCAAACAGTTAGCCAAGTTGTCAATGCAAAAGAAAAGTTCTTGAAGGAAATTAAAAATGCTGCTCCAGTGAACACTTGAATAAGAAATCAAAACAGTCTTATTGTTGACATGGAGAAAGTTTGAGTGGTTTGGATAAAAGATCAAACTAGTCACTACATTCCCTTAAACCAAAGCCTAATCCAGAGTAAGGCCCTAACTCTCTTTAATTCTATGAAGGCTGAGAAGTGAGAAAAATTTGAAGCTAGCAGAGGTTGGTTTATGAACTTAAGGAAAAAAGCCATTTCCATAGCATAAAAGCACAAGGTGAAGCAGCAACTGCTGATGGAGAAGCTGCAGTAAGTTATCCAGAAGATCTAGCTAAGATCACTAATGAAGGTGGCTACACTAAACAACAGATTTTCAGTGTGGATGAAACAGCCTTCTATCGAAAGATGCCACCTACAACTTTCATAGCTAGAGAGATGTCGATGCCTGGCTTCAAAATTTCAAAGGACAAGCTGACTCATTAGGGGCTAACGTAGCTGTAAGTTGAAGCCAGTGCTCACTTACCATTCCAAAAATACTAGGGTCCTTAACAATTATGTTAAACCTACTCTGCCTGTGCTCTATAAATGGAACAACAAAGCCTGGATGGCAGCACATCTGTTTACAGCATGGCTTACTGAGTATTTCTAAGCTCCTTGAGAACTATTGCTCAGAAGAAGATTCCTCTCAAAACACTGCTGCTCATTAAAAATGTGCCCGATCAGTCAAGAGCTCTGATGGAGATGTACAAGGGGATTAATGTAGTTTTCATGCCTCCTAACATAACACCCATTCTGTAGCCTACAGACCAAGGAGTCATTTCAACTTTCAAGTTTTACTATTTAAGAAATATATGTGTAGCTGCCATAGATAGGGATTCCTCTGATCGATGTGGACAAAGTAAATTGAAAACCTCCTGGAAAAGATTCACCACTCTAGATGCCATTAAGAATGTTTGTGATTCACGGGAGGAGGTCAAAACATCAACATTAACAGGAATTTGGAAGAACTCAATCCTCATGGCTGACTTCAATGGAGGAAGTCACTGCAGATGTGGTCAAAATATCAAAAGAACTAGAATTAGAAGTGGAGCCTGAAGTCGTGACTAAATTGCTGCAATCTCATGATAAAACTGGAATGGATGAGGAGTTGCTTCTTATTGGTGAGCAAAGAAAGTGGTTTCTTGTGATGGAATCTACTCCTGATGAAGATGCTGTGAATGTTGTTGAAATGACAAAAAAGGATTTAGAATATTACATAAACTTAGTTGATAAAGCAGTGGCAGGGTGTGAAAGCACTGACTTCAAGTTTGAAAGAAATTCTACTGTGAGTAAAATGCTATCAAATAGCATCAGATACTAAAGAGAAGTCTTTTACGAAAGGAAGAGTCAGCCGGGCTTGGTGGCTCAGGCTGTAATCCCGCACCTTTGGGAGGCTGCGGTGAGTGAATTGCCTGAGCCCGTGGGTTTGAGACCTGCCTGGGCAACTTGGTGAGACCT